AAGAATTGTCTTTACCCCACCCCTTACTTCTGTGACTTGGTGTGCTGTTGTCATGAGTTTAATATATTTTTTTTAAGATTTTATTTATTTATTTGACAGAGAGACACAGCGAGAGAGGGAACACAAGCAGGGGGAGTGGGAGAGGGAGAAGCAGGCTTCCCGCTGAGCAGGGAGCCCGACGCGGGGCTCGATCCCAGGACCCTGGGATCATGACCTGAGCCGAAGGCAGACGCTTAAACGTCTGAGCCACCCAGGCACCCCTAATATTTTTATAACCTATGACCTATACCTTGTTTTTTTTTTTTAAGAACTTTTTACTTTGAAATAATTTCAAACAGAAGAGTTACAGAAATGGTACAGATTACCTGGTTATATTCTTTACCTCTAATCACCAATTTGTAACATTGGCCCATTTGTTTTTGTTTTTTTTTTTCTTTTTTGCTCTGTATACATACATATTTTTTCTGAACCAATGGAAAGTAGGTTACACGCATTATGCCCCTTTACCCTCAGTTCTTCAGCATTTATTTCCTAAGAACAAGGGTATTCTTTTAAAGCCAAGGTATGGTTTTCAAATTCAAGAAATTCAGTATTTATATACTGCTTTCTAACTAATCTACAGTCCATATTCATTGCTTTTATTTTATTTGAGAGAGAGAGAGAGCATGAACAGGGGAAGGGGCAGAGGAAGAAGCAGACTTCCCCCTGAGCAGGGAGGTTGACGCAGGGCTCAATCCCAGGACTCAGGGATCATGACCTGAGCCAAAGGCAGACGTTCAACCAACTGAGCCACCCAGGTGCCCGCCACTCTGGTGTGAGACATTTTTCAAGGAGCCTTTCTTTTCTCCTTGCTGGGTTGTTTTTCGTTTTGTTTTGTTTTGTTTAAAGATTTTATTTATTTATTTATTTGACGGAGAGAGACACAGTGAGAGAGGGAACACAAGCAGAGGGAGTGGGAGAGGGAGAAGCAGGCTTCCCGCACAGCAGGGAGCCCGATGCAGGGCTCGATCCCAGGACCCTGGGATCATGACCTGAGCCAAAGGCAGATGCTTAACAACTGAGCCACCCAGGTGCCCCAAGTTTTTTGGTTTGTTTAACATTAAAATGTAATTCACATACCATACAATTTACCCATTTAAAGAATACCATTCAACTGTTTTTAGTATGTGCACAGTTTTGTGCGGCCAACACTACTAATTTGATTTCAGAACGTTTTTATCCCTACTAAAAGAAAACCTCTCACCCGTTTGCAGTCATTCGCCATCGCCCACCCCCAGCCTAGGCAACCAACCACTAATTTACTTTCTGTCTCTGGATTTGTCTCCTCTGGACATTTCATATAAATAACATGAAACAACATAATGGCCTTTTATGTCTGCCTTCTTTCACTTAATCTGATGTTTCTTGAAGGTCATCCTTGTTTTTGTGTGTACCAGTACTTCTTTCCATTTTATTGCCAAGTAATGTTACATTGCATGGCTAGGTCTCATTTTAAACGCCTTGCTTTTACATTCCCCAGATGCCATGAAAAAAAAAAAAAAAGAATGGTACTACTTATAGTAGATGTGCTCTCTAATTGTGTAGTATCTCAGACAGAGGCCCTTCATGTGATACTCAGGGGTGGCCAGAGGGTTTAGGCTGGGCTACACAAACAGAGTGTATCATGGGATCACTTAAAAGGGCCTGGGTTGATAACTGCCAGTAAGGAAAACATTCTATGATTAGAAAATAAGACTATTGTTTAGAGAGAGAGAGAGAGAGAGAGAAAAGAAGACTGTTGTCCCTCTAATATTTCGAAATAATAATTTAGATGGAACTAGGGTCCAGTTCATTACTTTTTAAAAGAATAGCTTTATTGAGTTATTACTCACATACCATAAAATTTATCCTTGTGAAGTGCACAATTCAGTGGGCTTTAGTGTAGTCACAGAGTTATGTAACCACAACCACTATCGAATTCTAGAACATTTTCGTCACCCTGAAGGAAACATGTACCCATCAGTAGTCAGTCCCAGTTCCCCTCCCCCATCCTGGCAACCACTGATCTACCCCAGCTCTCTGTAGTTAGGGATGTTCTCCTTGATGCTATTGTAAATGGAATCAGTTTTTATGTTTGTATTCAGATTGTTCATTGCTACTGTGTAGAAATATAATTGATTTTTGTATATTGATCGCATATCCTGCAACCTTGCTGAACTTGTTCATTAGTTATAGTAATTGTTTAGTGTACTCCTTAGTATTTCTATGTATAAGATTATGTTTGTGTGAATAAAGATAGTTTTGCTGGGGCGCCTGGGTGACTCAGTCACTTAAGCGTCCGACTCTTGATCTCAGCTCAGGTCTTGATCTCATGGTCATGAGTTCAAAAGCCCCATGTTGGGCTCAATGCTGGGCATGGAGCCTACTTTAAAAAAAAAAAAATGATAGTTTTGCTTTTCCGTTTTGAATTTAGATACCTTTTATTTCTTTTTTCTTATCTAGATAATTGCTAGCCTGCCATTTTTGAGCATAGCTCTTACAGGTACAAATACTCTTTCATTTTCAGGCAATTGAAATATTTTATAAACATCCAAAAATTTGAGGAAGAGAAGCTAAGATTCACATTTTTTAGTTTGTACATTCAGGGACTCTTGACTTGAAAAAAGGAAAGAACAGGAAAGAAAACTATGAATGGATAAAAGTTGAACATTATCCAGCACGCTAGGGACCAAAACATCAACTTAACCTCTTCTGCACCAAAAATTTCAGCTTTGTTTCTAGAAACTTTCTCTATGGGAAAAGTGGAAGGTGGTAGAAATAAAATTGGTAGGATTCACTTTACCAATAGCTTTTGCATAAAGTGGAAGACACTGTTTTATCTTACCTTCAGTGTCCTAATGAAAGTAAAGCATTATATAAACTCTTTTGACAACAATACAATTATTAGTGAGCTAGATAGAATGCTGTCAAATCGGAGGTACTAATTACCAAGTGCAGAAAAATCTGCAGTAAGAGAAGGAAATGAAATTAGAGGGGACCTCAGTGTAATGTAAATTCTCTTGGATACCATGAAAATTGAGCCATTGAAAAGAATAAATTTTAACCAACTTGAAGAATCATTACGTTGGAACAGGAAAATGCCTCTAAAGAATGTTCTACACAGGGGCGCCTGGGTCGCTCAGTCGTTGGGCGTCTGCCCTTGGCTCAGATCATGAGCCCAGGATCCTGGGTTCGAGCCCCACATCGGGCTCCCAGCTCAGCGGGAGGCCTGCTTCTCCCTCTCCCACTCCCCCTGCTTTTGTTCTCTCTCTCGCTGTGTCTCTCTGTCAAATAAAAAATTAAAAAAAAAAAATCTTAAAAAAAAAAATGTTCTACACAGTCCTTTCCTTAGTCACTTTTTTTTTTTTTAAGATTTTATTTATTTATTTGACAGCACACACAAGCAGGGGGAGCGGGAGCAGCAGAGGCAAAGGGAGAAGCAGCCTCTCCACTGAGCACAGAGCCTGATGTAGGGCTCGATCCCAGGACCCTGGGATCATGACCTGAGCTGAAGGTAGATACTTAACTGACTGAGCCATCCAGCTGCCGCCCCTCAGTCACTTTCAATGAGAAAACATATTAACACCTTTTTTTTTTTAAAGCACATTGGCAAGGGTGTGGAAAAATTGGAACCCTTGTGTATTGTTGGTAGGAATATAAAAGGGTACAGCTGCTGTGGTAAATAGCATGGCAGATTCTCAAAAAATTAAACATAGAAATTACCATATGATCGAGCAATTCCACTTCTGAGCACGTACCCCTAAGAGTTTAAACTAGGGACCTGAACAGATATTTGGACACTCATGTTCACAGCAGCATTAATCACGGTAGCCAAAAGTGGAAGCAATTCGAGTATCTATCAACAGAAAAATGGATAAACAACATGTGGCCCATATATAATGGAGTGTTATTCAGCCTTCAAAGAAGGAAATTTTGGCACATTCTGCAACATAGATGAACGTAAATGTCACTGTGCTGAATAAAATAAGCCAGCCACAAAAGGACAAATACTGAACAATTCCACTCCTTTGAGGTCCCTAAAGTAGTCTGATTCATAGAAACAGAAAGCAAAATGGTGGTTACCAAGGGCTGGGGTGGGGGGGCGTTTAATAGGGAGTTAGTATTTAATAGGTATGAATTGCAGTTCAAGGAGATGAAAAAGTTTTGGAGGTGGATGGTAATGGTTGCACAACATTGTGGAAATACTTAATGCCACTGAACTGTACACTTTAAAATGGTAAATTTTTATGTATATGTTACCCATGATTTTTTTTAAAGATTTTATTTATTTGACAGAGACACAGAGAGGGAGAAGCAGGCCTCCCACCGAGCAGGGAGCCCGATGTGGGGCTCGAACCCAGGACCCTGGGATCATGACCTGAGCTGGAGGCAGATGTCTAACAACTGAGCCACCCAGGCGCCCCATGTTACCATAATTTTTAAAAATTAAAAAGAAAAAGTATTCTCTTTGAGCTTGAGATACTGTGCTTTAACTTTAAAAAACATTCATCCAGCCCTTGAACATCGTTTGGTTTTTCTATTCTGTAGATCCCTGGTTGGGGCCCTTCTACAGTAAGTAAAGATCTGAAGATAGGATTATTAGAAATAAGGAGTAAATCCAAAAGAAATACGATCCAAAGAAATCAGACCTGATTCCTTAGATCAGCTGCTTTGCCAGATGCTCGTCCTACCTCACTAAGATATCAGCGTGTAGTACAAACCCTGAACATCTTGGTCCTTCATGAACCAGGGAGAAGGCTTCTTGAAAAGAGGTTGGACAGATGCTTCTGAAGCCTGCTTTTCCGCTATGGTAATAAAAGCAGTATTCCTCAGCCTTCTGATGCTGTGCTGTAATACGATCAGATAAGAGTCTGGGGTCTCGTAAACACTGTTCTGTATTCACAGAGCTGATGTGAAGGCTGGCACCTCACTGTTGCATAGGCCCTGCCTAAGGATTTTAAAGATCTTCTCTTATTATTCAGGTCAATCTTGGAGAAGGAGGGACCAAAGTCACTTTTTAGAGGCTTGGGTCCAAATTTGGTTGGAGTTGCGCCCTCAAGGTAAGCATTAAACGTCCAGCTGGCTCACTACATATACTTTCTTACTGAAGTGCAGTACTGCTAGATGGCCAGTTTCTTCCTCTGTATGGCATTTGCCTAGTTTGTAGCTGACATACAGAGTAGTGACAAATGCTAGTGTATCTTGTGGCGTGTGTGTGTGTGTGTGTGTGTGTGAGAGAGAGAGAGAGAGAGAGACTAGTTATTTTATTCTTCAACGAAAATCCTCTCATCCCCTGGAATCTTCTAAACAAGTATCTGCTACTTCCTATATGGTATGTGGCCAGCAATATTGGCATCACCTGGGGCTTGTTAGAACTGCACACTCTCGGGCCATACCCCAGACCTACGTCGGGATCTGCCTTCTAGCAAGATCCCCAGGTGATTCATATGCACTGGGTAGCACTGATCTGAAGCAATTTTAAAGGCTTCTAGCCTTTACTTTATTTAAAACATCCTTATTTCTGTGTCTCTTTAAAGCCTATTTGATAAAAGTGAACAGGTGAGTATGTAGCATATCTCTGAAAAGTAGATTAGAAATTGCCTCCTGGGAGGGGTGCTGGGTGGCAGGGTAGGCTACTTACATTACTTTATGTAATACTTGGATAGATTTTAAAGAGAATTAATCTTTAATTCTCAAACATGAAAATGTTGTTTTCTATAAGGTAAAGACTAAAAGCTTCCTAGAATTCTTGCAGATTTGTGCTCTGAGGTGATTTATACACAAATCACCTGAGAATGTTGTAAAAATTCAGATTCTTAGTAAATCCTTTTGTTCCTTTAGAATTTTGTAGCATATGTGTATCATCTATTTAAAAATAAGAGCACTAGTCTGTGAGATTATATGGGGTATGCATTATAATAGATGATAGACTTACTGCATACGTATAGTAAATAAAATTGAGTTGTATCTCCTCATGGACAGTGCTCATTTGGTAACACCTGTTAATCTGATGTAGCTTCCTGGCTGCCACACCCATTTAGAACAGTTAGGACCTAGAAAAAAACAGAATACTGTTATATAAACACAATAATGATAAGCAGTCCAAAGCCTAAGTTGAAAAATACATTCTGTGATCGGTGCATTAGCCAGCCAAAATAAAGAAGCATTTTCCCTGGCATTGCTGGTGAAGGAGCAGGGAAAATACCAACCAGCCCCTACTCCCCAGCCCCAGTAAGAAAGAAGTCAAAAGAGGGAAAGCAAAGACCAGACTAGAGCTGGGCATGGGGATGGGGGTGCGCCTAGCCTCCACCTACAGGAGCTGCAGGGTTGGGGGAGGCGGGGGGTGTATTCAGTGGCGGAAGCTCTTCATGAAAATACGCTTGTGATGATTGTTCCCTACGTGACCCTGAGTCATCAAAAAAAGTCAAATTATATTTGACATACTCATTGTGGTGTAAGGCAGGACAAGTGTGGTAATACTTCTAAGAAGTATTACACATTTTTAGAAGTTTTAGTATAGATTTTGGTGCTTAACGAATTGACATCCAAAATGAAGAATATAAATGGATTTTGTATATTACCAAAATCTCCTCTTCCTCAATTATTTTGGACACTTCTACCATCACTGAATACCTTCTGGAGGGACAAGCAGGAGCTTTTTGCAGGGGCCTGCAGCAGCTTTTGGTTTTACAGATGAGGTCAAGCTTTTGGTTACATGTTAACCTTCTTTCTCATATTTTCCTAAACTTTTCAGAGGTTGCGGAGGGACGTATATAGTGCCATGCCAATGTCTGTAGCGTTCTCTCTTTCTTCAAACAGGGCTGTGTACTTTGCGTGTTACTCCAAAGCCAAAGAGCAGTTCAATGGCATTTTTGTGCCTAACAGTAATATTGTGCATATTTTCTCAGCTGGCTCTGCAGGTATGTTACCCTAGTGAGTGGAGATAAGTTTCCCACTTTCCTAAAGCATGTGTTGTGCCAAACAGCTTTTTCCAGGAATTAGACATTAGCTCTCTGCTTCTTTTGCATCTAAAAACATTTTTCTAACGCTTTATGTTAGAACTAATAAAACATGAATGTTTGAGAATAGTTTGTAACTTGGTTCCATTTTCTTTGATAACTAAGACTTCTGCCTCAAAATTTACCTGTGCTCCTGCATACTACTGGTGAGTGTTAATGTTTCTTTTAAAGGAATATTAATGCATTTTCATGTCTTTCTGTTTCATTAAGTTATTTTAAAGATGGAGCTTTTTTGTGTGTGACTCCCTATGGTGTCCAGCGTACCCTGTGGATAGCTGGCATTTCTGCCCACAGCTGGGTTCTGTGATGAGGGCTTGGGGCTGTGGAGGAGATCTTTTAGGAAGGCTGGTACCAGATCAGGTAGTATGGGAGTCATTCCACTCATAGAAAATTTGTAACAGGATTTGTTCCTCAGGAAATACTTGGCAAAGAACCATGGATTTGTAGATTGCTGAGAGAAGGCTATGTCTTTTTAGGTATCATTTTATGTCTTGTGTAAATAGAATAGTATCCTAGAGAACTTAAACAGACATTCTGTGAAATGTTTATGCCTCCTGCCAGCCTGTAAGGTTTTGTCTGCCTCTGTCACTCCAAATAAAAGTTCTAGTAATCTATCTGAGTAGTTATAAGTCATAATTACTAGACCCCAAGTAGAAGATAGCATATCTTCTTGCTGCTTCACACAAGAAAGGAGTTTCTGCTGAATACGGAGCTCCGAGGAGGAAATGCAGAGTGGCAGAACGAACGGGTCAACCCTCACTTATGAGGGTGGTAGTAAGTGAGCCATAAGCTCTAAGCTGTTCATCGGTTTTGTGACTTTTGCAAAATTAACTTAGAGGAAGGGTTGGCAAATAAAGCAGACCTGGAGGGAGTTCTCTAAACCACTCTCTGGGGTCCTAATTAATCTGCTTAGGACTGTGGCGGGGATGAGGTGTTCAGAGCTCACCATGTGTCAGGCTGATGCCACGGTACTGCTCTTTCTGGTTGGTCTGGAACAGTGGGCAATATTAAGATGAGGAAGACTTGAAAAATGGTTCCTATAAGCAGATCGGTCTTTAAAACTTCCAATTTCCTGATATGATTAGTGAGATACTAAAATGTGTATGTTCACATTCAGGTAAATGGAGATTTAGTGGCTTCTGTTTTAGGTTTGATAAAAGGTAACCTTTTGGATTAGATCACCAACTTTTTAAAACAAATTATTTCTGGACCTGAAGCTTATAAATTTGAGTTTTAGAATAGTTTACATATTTATCATAGGAATCACATTTACAGAAACATCAACAGCACCATCTACAGGTTGGAAAAACTAGACGGCTCTAGAAAATTGAGAGATTTCTTTTAGGTCCAACATATCAGTAGATGTTACATTTTAGGGGACTGTACCTTCCATCTGCAGTCTGGAAATACAACTGCTTCCTATTCATTTTTACTCTTAAGCCATTTAAATCCTGATCTCAAAGTTTATCATATGAAATAGACAGCTTTAATAAGCATGGACTGTGTTCAGTGATGTTTTCTGTTTCTTTTATTTTCTTCCAGCTTTTGTCACAAATACCTTAATGAATCCTATATGGATGGTTAAAACCCGGATGCAGCTAGAACGGAAGTAAGTTATTAATTGTTCCTTCCTAAATATTCGTGGAGATTTTCTTTTTCCTCCCAACTCCAGTTGTGAAATGAGGTGTACAGAGCCCTTAGACATCCCCATCCTTGTTTTTGCCTGAATATAAGCTATATGTAGAAACTCCTTTTGTTTTGAGATGTGTGCTGCCAGCCATTGTGGGGCTATGAGGGCCAACAGAAGTTACCACTCGGGGAGGTTGGAAGCTTATGGCCCCTGATCTGCTCCTGACTTCTCAGATAGTTGGTGGGTCTCCGCTCTTGGCCGACCCCACCGTCAACTAGAGCGCCGTGGGCTCCTCCAGATGGCCTCTCTTTTTAAGTGGGAAGAAGCCAGTAAGGGTAGAATGGCAAAGGGTCATTGTAATCTCCAAGGTCTTCAGATTTACTGGATCTCTGCCCTGAAACACTCGCCCGTGGTTCTTTTTTTTTTTTTTTTTTAAGATTTTATTTATTTATAAAAAAAAAAAAGATTTTATTTATTTATTCATGAGAGGCAGAGAGAGAGGCAGAGGGAGAAGCAGGCTCCCCACGGAGCAGGGAACCCGATGCGGGACTCGATCCCAGGACCCCGGGATCATGACCTGAGCTGAAGGCAGACGCTTAACCGACTGAGCCACCCAGGCGTCCCTTCAGAGTAATATTTTTGAAAGCAGTGGAAACCAATTGTTGAAGTATAATTATCAATGCAATATAGTAATATACTTGTTTAATACAGTAAATAAGATCAAACAGTGGCCCAATAACCACCATAATTTCAAAGACGTGATGGTGATAAGGGACACTCTCATCAAATTCTAAGAACTCTTGTATAACTGTGTGGCCTGGAAATACGTGTGGGCACTGGAAGCTTTCAGCTAGTCCAGCTGAACTCTAAGCAACCTGTAAAGAAAAGAGAGAAGCAGCAAGAATACCCCTCTGGATGTGTAGCTATGGGTCTGCCTTCGTTTGTTTTTTCTAATGACCACGAAAACCTCTGAATTGGGCTCAGATTCCATGTTTCCCCCAATCCATTCTGTGTGAAAGAACCTTCTAGAATGCATCAGATCTCATCATTTTGGACAGATCGCTAGCTGATAATCCTTCAATGAATCTTGCTTACTCTCACAGTCAAATCCTAACTCCTGGGCTTAACATTCAAGGTTCTTTGCAATTTTCTAAAACTGTCATGTGCTCTTAGGCTTCCATCTCCCCGAGTGTGCTGTCCCCCACCAGGAATCCCTCTCCCCTTCTTGTTGCTCAAGAACACCTGCTTGTCCTTCAGGCTTCTGACAAGCATCCTCTCCTGGAAACCTTTGGTAATCACTCCCCATTCCAGCTGTGCCCCACACAGTCCTGGCTGGTATCATTCCTGCTTAGCAGCAGGTACATGCACAAGTCAGCTAAGAGCCTGGACCTGCACTCTTTTAAATCTCCATGCTCCATGCAATATCCATGCTCAGGACATTGTATTTTTTATTTTATTTTATTTTTTTAAGATTTATTTATTTGTTTTAGAGAGAGAAAGAGTGCCTGAGTGGGGGGAGGGGCAGAGGGAGAGAGAGAATCCTCAGGCCGACTCCCTGCTAAGCACGGAGCCTGACTCAGGAATGAGTTCCAGGACCCTGAGATCATGACCTGAGCCCAAATCGAGAGTCGGACGCTTAACCGACAAGCTATCCGGGCGCCCCCATGCTCAGGACATTTTAAAAAGCTTCGTTTGGGTGGGCTCTATTAACCAGTCCTGCAACAATGCTGATTTGTTGCATGCTTGCTGTGTACTAGTCACTGGGGAAACGGGAGATAAGCCATAGGCCCTGCCTTCCAGAAGCTCACAGCTTTACAGAAAATAAAGAGAATTGTAGGCTGATGAAATAGGGGCCAGAAATGCTAAGGACCCCAGAGGGTCCCTCATGCCATCCAGGCAGGGCGGGCACAGGAGGGCCTCCTGCGGCAGTGATGTCCACCCTCTACCGTCTGAAAAGTAATGGGGAGGGGTCCTGGCACTGCACGTACTTCAGGCCAAGAACAGGGTATGCGGAAAATCTAGAGACAAGAAACACTTGTTTCTGGGGACCCGAAGGAAGGGAAGCATGGTTGGAGTGTGCTGTGAGTGTGTGTGTGTGTGTGTGTGTGTGTGTGTGGTGTGCACGCTGGAGGAGGTGGGGATCATAGAAAGCCAAGACTGCAGAAATGTATGGGGTGGGGGGCATATCCTTCAAAGCCCTGAGAGGGTCTTGGAGTTTGGCTTCGGGCTCTAATTTGAGGGCCGTGGGGAGCCATTAGAGCTGTGGTTTGGGGTGGGAGTGGGGAACATTCTGCCCCCCAGGGGACATTTGGCAATGTCTGGAGACATTTCCAGTTGTCACAACTTAGGTGGGATGCTTCTGGCATCTGGTGGGTAAAGGCCGGGGTATTGCTCAACATCCTACAGTGCAAGGACAGCTTCCACAGCAGAGAATCATCTGGTGGAAAGTGTCAGTAGTGCCCAGATTGAGAAACTCTACATTAGAGGCTTTTAAGCAGGGCAGTGGTGTGGTCAGATATGTATTAGAAAGTTCCCCCCACACAAACAATGAATCATGGAACACTACATCAAAAACTGATGATGTAATGTATGGTGATTAACATAACAATAAAAATTTTAAAAAGAAATGTCGCTCCAGCTAGGGTGTGGAGAAGCAGCCTTGGAAAGACACGATGAAGAAGGGAGAGCCCTTGTGACTGGTTGGAGCAAGGGGTGCGCTGGGCTTCAGTGCCGAGGGAGGACTCTGTGGTGCAGACCAGTGGATATGCTGTCAGGCCCTGGGGTTCACTCTGCATCGGGCAGTTTAGGATACTTCCCATCACGAGCCAGGAGCAGTGAGCCTGAAGCCTTTTATTCTTTTTTTTTTTTTTTTTAAGATTTTATTTATTTATGACAGAGAGAATGAGAGAGAGAGCACAGGAGAGGGGGGAGTTTCAGAGGGAGAAGCAGACTCCCCGCCGAGCAGGGAGCCCGATGCGGGACTCAATCCAGGGACTCCAGGATCATGACCTGAGCTGAAGGCAGTTGCCCAACCAACTGAGCCACCCAGGCGCCCCAGCCTTTTATTAGTTCTTGTGTAGTTTATTCGATGTTTATCATTCCATAAATTTAGAAATAATGGAATCAAAACACACCATCTGGAGACTAGAGTTAAGAAAGCTTACTAGTGTAAGCAACCTTGCGCTCACTGCCCAGGCGGAATGTTGGTGAGGCTTTTCCTTTGGCGTTTTCTGAAAGCACATTTGTGCCATGATTGTAATTATATTCACTATATAATTGCGTCCTCCTTTCCACACAAAGCACTTCCACATAGCTGACTGCTCAACTATGTTAACTTAGTGTGTGTATCATAGTTTACTTATCTATTCCTATTTTTAGATATTCTTTTTTTTTTAAAGATTTTATTTATTTGAGAGAGTGAGAAAGAGAGAGAGAGCACATGAGAGGGGGGAGGGTCAGAGGGAGAAGCAGACTCCCCGCTGAGCAGGGAGCCCGATGCGGGACTTGATCCCAGGACTCCAGGATCATGACCTGAGCCGAAGGCAGTTGCTGAACCAGCTGAGCCACCCAGGCGCCCTATTTTTAGATATTCTGATTGTTTTGATTATATCGCAGTTATATTTTCCTCTGTGATGAACGTCCTCCGTCCGGCTCTTTCCAAAGTTAGGTCAGAGGCTGTGGACATGTTTTCATGACTCTTGGTATAGATGCACATACTTTCTGTGGCTTATCAGGTGTCCCATCTGGTGGGCCCGGGCTCAGCTGAACACGGAAGACATTTCATCTGCCGTATAATTTCTCTTTATACTCAGCGCTAATTTTTTGCAGCTTGATACAGGAGCCCAGCTCCTCCTGAGTGTGGATTTTAACAGCTCTTCGTTGATCTTTACACAGAGTGAGAGGCTCTAAGCAGATGAACACACTCCAGTGTGCTCGCTATGTTTACCAGACAGAAGGCATCCGTGGCTTCTACAGGGGATTAACGGCCTCGTATGCTGGAATTTCAGAAACTATCATCTGTTTTGCTATTTATGAAAGTTTGAAGAAGTATCTGAAAGAAGCTCCATTAGCCTCTTCTACAAACGGGACTGAGAAGAGTTCCCCAAGTTTTTTTGGACTTATGGCAGCTGCTGCGATTTCTAAGGGATGTGCTTCCTGCATCGCTTATCCGCACGGTATGTTTTGCTTTTTCTTCCAGAACAGTAAAGCGGCTGTGCGCTTTGCGTCACTGTCCGTATACGTAGACCTCTGCAGCTCTCAGTGCAGTGCCAGTGCCTGTAGGTATGGAGGTGCCGGAGTACAAGTGAGCTGGCTTCTACTGTCTGTAGGCTATGTGAGCGGCAGGCGCTCAGCTCTGCTCGGCTCCAACTGCTTGTGGCCAAAACGTATTGTGCAGAACGCGGGCCCTCTGTTGTAGAACTTCACATGTTTTCAGAGAAGCCCCAAATCTGGATTTTATTTAAAATTCCTCGATTTAAAAAAATGGCGTGAGTGCCAACCAAAAAAAAAAAAAAATCAGCTTCCACTTTGAGTGGAGTGCTGAGTGAGGCTACTTTGCTAAGTCTATTTTTTAAGGAATTAGAGACCTAATGTTCCACTGACCTACTTTATTTTTTTACTTTTTTTTTTTAAAAGATCTTGTTTATTTATTTGACAGAGACAGTGAGAGAGGGAACACAAACGGAGGGGTGGGAGAGGGAGAAGCAGGCCTCCCACCGAGCAGGGAGCCCGATATGGGGCTCCATCGCAGGACCCCGGGATCATGACCTGAGCCGAAGGCAGACGCTTAATAGACTGAGCCACCCAGGCGCCCCATCCACTGACCTACTTTTAAAAAGAATAGCTTAGTTTATTGTACCATGCAAAACAGGTTTTGTTTTCAAAAGCCCACTGCGCTGTCAGCTATGGCGACATGGTCAGCTCCAAAGCAGGTATTTGAGCCCCTGTCACATGCTGGGGCACTAAGCGGCCCCCCAGGGCTCAGGGAAAAGAGGTTGGGCTGCCTCCCATGGGGTGGGGAAGACGAGAGTGTGTCAGGCAGTGACAGGTGTCAGGCTAGGGGTGCCTGCGTTGGGGAGGGCCAGGTGTGCAAAGGTTTGAAAATGTAGGAGGCAGCTTTTGAGCTGGAGAGAGTGATGGAGAAGGGTTTTAGTGGGAGAGGAAGTTGGCAAGTACATGAAAAAATCTCGTTGATGATTTGCTGTGCTTAATACAAATTACACCTTCAGTGAAATTACAGCGTTTGCTTAATTGGGAGTAGAAAACCACAAACTATCTTAAAATGAAGTCCCATTCAAAGTAGGCTTTTACAGTCCCTTAAAAGTTACTTTGTACTTTTGTCTGTATATGTAATGTCCCTAATTGACCATTTCCCAGAATTAGAAAGTGTTCTAAAAAGACTGCAATTTTTCTTTGTCCCTAGGCGACTTTGCTGTCCAAGTAGAACTGCGATGGCAAATAGCCAGAGATGTACATTGACAGTTACAGAGCTGTGTGCTTTGAATTCTCTCATTGTATCGCTTGGTGATGCAGTTCTAGCATAAAGTATGTGTTTCTCTCTGCAGAAGTCATAAGGACACGGCTCCGGGAGGAAGGCACCAAGTACAAGTCTTTTGTCCAGACCGCTCGGCTGGTCTTCCGGGAAGAAGGTTACCTTGCCTTCTATAGAGGACTCTTTGCCCAGCTCATCCGGCAGATACCAAATACTGCCATCGTGTTGTCTACCTATGAGTTAATTGTGTACCTGTTAGAAGACCGTACCCAGTAATGGGCCAGAAAATTGTGCCCTTGAAGAATAAAATTGAAAAACTCTAGAGAAAATTTTTTTTCCATTGATGTTTAGAATGTTTGAGACTGAAACAGGAAAGGCCATAAAATACGTGGCCTGTATCACCCGTTGGACATTTCCTTTTGGATTCATGTTTTCTGGAAGGTTTAAATTCATTAACGTTAATAGTTAATTATAACTTTTGTTTTTTTAACTTAAGAGGATTCAGGATTAAGCAGCTAAATTAAATCATGCTACTTAATTTAAGTATAAATTTGGTTTGTGTCCTCTTTTATGTTCACTGTGCTGCAAACTTGTACTTCAGTGAAACACGACCCTAGAAATGTAGAGAAAACCTGCAAAATCAAAATATAGCTTATTGTCTCATGTGACAGTACGCCGCCGAACAGGTAGGATGTGTCACATTCTGGTGGCACTGGGTGGACCGGGGCAGGCCTCCCAGCCATTTTTCTTATCTGTACATTTCCAAGTCTCATGCCAATTGATAAGTTAAGCCTTCAGTCTGCTAAGTTAAAAAAAAATAAGTACAACTTTCTGATACTAAATATTTTAAACTGTAAACATCTTTCTAAAGTTATCCTTTATCCCCAGTTTGAACCAAAGGCAGGAGTTTTAATGAACTATTCACCGACTGTCTTACTCCTGGACCTATTTCCAGAAGTTTAAGTCTGGTCAAGCCCAGGTACCTTAAAAGTGTCAGCTGTGAATGTGGAGTAGGGTGAGTAATTGACCTTTCCTGTCAGGTCTTTAAGCCCGTTCTTGGGTCCCTAGCACCGGGGAGAGGGAGGTGACACAGGGTCCCCTAGCACTGGGGAGAGGAAGGTGACACAGGGTCCCTAGCACTGGGGAGAGGGAGACTTTTACTCTCACAGGAGGTGTGTTTAAATACCCTAGTTCAATGTTTAAAAAAAAAAGCCTACAAATGACCAGAATTTTAACCACACCCTACCACTCCCCACTTTTAAAGGAAATTTTTAATAAGGGACAAAGGTAATGCAGAAGGCAGGTAGGACGGACAGCCTTCCATTAGCTCTTCCACTGGAATTTGCTTTATTGTCCATTGAGATTAGTTTTCAGTCTGAATATCTAGAAAGATACTGGGTTCTAATAACTGATGCATTATAGTTTCAGATTCAGTTGCAGATGCACTGGTGGGGACGAGAGTAGGATATTTTCAAATTGTATTTAAATGGAGTTTAATTTTGCTCACCTTTAGGCATGAAGGAGGTTAGTTGGTGTGCTTGAGCTCACTGGTAGAATTTGCTTGAACTGTAACAACTGTGCGGAAGTCCAAATAAATCACTTTAGTCAAGCATCAGTGCTTGTAAACCGCATAGCAGTCAAAAGATTTCTATTCCAGGAGCTCAGTTTAACTGTTGGATAGTGGCGTTTAGCAACATCTTCCTATTTTAGTGTTTATATTAAAATCTGAATTTTTCCCTCAAGATTTAAAGGTTTAAAAATTAGGTTGCTTAATATTTGCTAATTGGGTATGAGAATTATTTGAAAATAGTTTTCATTTCTACATTCTTGAATTAATAAATTTGATGCTGACCATTTAGTTCTCTAATTGCTTCTGCACCAGAACATTGAAATGAAAAAGGTGAGCACCAGAAAAGTAGGAAGAAAAGCAAGAAACCATAAAGTGGCTTGTCAGATTTAAAATGGGAATTGTCGCTGTTTGAGCTGTCCATGGGGAGATCCCATGATTTCTCTCTTGGGCACAAGCTCAGTCATTGGGATTTCATTATTTTTAAGTAGTTATATACATAAGACTTGGGAAACCCTCATTGCTTACCCACTGGGTACCAAACACTGTGTAAGATGTTCTGTATTTTCTCATGGAAATTATTTCTGACACCACCTCACGAGGCAGGTATTACCATAATCCACATTTTACAAATAAGAGAGGCTCAGAGGTTTAATGACTTGAGGTCTGAGAGATGGTAAGTTGTAAAATGGCCAGTAGTGGGTTTGTAGTGCGTGTTGGGTAGATGAATATAAGCTAAAGGGGGCATCTGAGCCTGTGGAATGGTCTGACCGAAGCCAAGGTCCAGCAAACCATTCAGTTCACTCAAGGATCACGAGCCCAGGGGCACTACCACCGACGAAGGTGAGATTACACTAGTGTAACCCCCAGGACACAGTTGTCCACAGCAGTCTCTGAATCTAACTTGGAAAGAAAATGGTACTTAAATACAGTGCCACACATTATAAAGGAGGTTTCACTACTCTTTGTGCATTTGTGGTGAAAGCAGCAAAGTGGCCAAAGCAAGGCCTTGGCTCTGACCCACGTGGAAGAAACAGGAGCAGCCTCTCTCCAGCCCCTGGGTCCTGTGCCCTGCTCCCTGCCCTCTCTGCAGCTCCTAGAAATTCCGGTGACTAGGGTGCAGGACAGATTAATTGGCAACAGGAAACAATGGTAACATTTGCTGCTAAACGACCCCACACCGACACTGTCCACCGCAGGAAGAACTCCAATGTTGACCTCAGAAACACTGGAAAAGTGTGGACACTGAGACATGTATTGTGTAACTGAATACGAATATTTACAACCAGCTGGGTTTTTTGTTTTGTTTATTTATGAAAGTAATTCATCTCAAGCCAATAATACTGAAACTGGCATAAAAATCTTCTCTAAATCCACACCCCTGGGGTAACTTTGTAGCTCAACGCTAACGGTCCTCGACTTCCTACAAGCGTACACACATTCTAGGAGTGTCTTTATTCAAACTGAGTTATTCCCAAAATCAGTGTGCCTGTCCCGCCCCCCTTTTTTTTAACAGTATCCTCCCTCCAGGCCAATACTCATAGCTCCCACCTTACGTTCCGAAGTTCCGAGGTAGAGCTGTCCTGTGATTCGTTCAACCTCGCCCTTGTGGATGGACGTTCATGTCTCCATTAACTATTACTTTGTTTAATGGAGTGGCTTAAAAGAGCTGCAACTTGGAGCAAAACAGCTGTTCGAGCGCAGGCTGGTCTTGGCCAGCGTTGGGCAGACCGGACTAGCGGGAGAAAAGACTACTTACAGTCTGTGCCCCAGGGCGCTAAGGTTGGCGGACTTTGCAGGAGGCGGGGGGGGGGGGGGGGGGGGGGGGGCGCCGGGCGCCTCGTCGCCTCCCACCTCCCGCCGCGGGGGGGCGCGCTCGGCCCAGTGCCGCCGCTTCCGCCGGCGCCCCGCCCCCCGGGCTCGCCCCGAGCCCCGATTGGCTGCGCGGCGGGAGCGCGCCGAGTCAGGGGGCGGGCCCGCGCCGGCTACAAAGCGGCGAAGGTCACGGCGCGAGGAGGCGCGCGCCGCCGCCCCGTGTCCCGCCTGCGGCCCTGGGCCCCCAGCCCCGCGGCCCACCGCCCGCCGCCTGCCGCCCGCTGCCCGCCGCCCGCGCGGGGAACCATGGAGGGAGTGAGCGCGCTGCTGGCCCGCTGCCCCACGGCCGGCCTGGCCGGCGGCCTGGGGGTCACGGCGTGCGCCGCGGCCGGCGTTCTGCTCTACCGGATCGCGCGGAGGTGAGTGCGTGCGGCCCACGCGGCCTCGGCCCGCCGTCCTCCGCCCGCCCCGGCCCGCTCCGGGGCTGCACGGCTCCTCCCTGCCCGCGAGGCCGCGGCGTGGCGGTGGGGGCCCGGCCTGGGCGCCCACGCGCCGGGACCCTCTGTGCACGCCCGCGTGCCCCTGGGGGCTGCTGGGTTGGGAAGCTTCGTGGTGGGGAAGCGGCCGGGGAGTGGGTTCGGGGATCCCAGAAATGCGGGGCGGGCGAGGACGGCCAGCGCGTGGGTTACAAACTTCCTCCCCCGCGGAGACGCGTGCCTGCCGAGCCGCGGGATCTGCGGGGCCGCCCCACGCCCACCCCGACACCCTGCGGGAGAGAGCCGCCGAGATGGCACTGCGCTCTTGTCCGCCTTCAGCCCTGCTCCGGGCACACGTTGGAATGGACTGATGCTAGCTAGCACTTTCTGGTCGGCGTACGCTGCCTCAGGCGTTGTTCTCATTTCATAGGGGCCCAGTCAGAGTCACGACCCCAGCAGCCCGTAGAGAAGGAAGCCCAGGGACAAAAGAGCTGAGTAAATTGTCATTAATTAGAAGAACCACCGTGTGAACTGAAGCCGCCTGGGCCTGGAGCCTGCATTGCTAACCCCTGGGGCAGGAAAGCGTGCTGCTGCTGCTGCTGCTGCTGCTGCTGCTGAGCTGGTTCAGTGGCAGCCCCAGCCCTGGCAGGGCTCAAAGATCATGCTGACCCCTCTGAGGGGCCTCCGTGGTCAGGGATAAAAGCCAAGTGGCCTCTTGTTTGAGCAGGGCCTCAGAGGCAGCCCAGCTGTTTCCGCATCTGCTCCAGCGGCAGATGACAGGGAAAAAAGATAGGGCTGTGAACACATCCTAGGGACAGGGTGGGTGGGTTTGTACTTTGAGCATGGGACCCGCAAAGCTCACATACAGGGTAGGAGAAGAGAAGGACTTGCCTGCAGGCACTCAGCGGCAGGTGTGGCAGAGCTGGGATTTGAACCTGGGCAGTCTGGTGGTTCTTCCTTAACCGCCACCATGTGCTGCTTCTCATCTGAGGGAGAAAGAAGTGAGGGCGACTGAGTCACAGGCTTCCTGGAGGAGGAGGGGTAGGAGGAACATCAGCTGTGTCTGCAGGGTGAGCCAGACGGGCAGGCTGAGGAGGGGGTGGCCTCCCAGGGGAGGATAGTTGGGGGTAGAAGGAGCTTCTAATTCAAGGGCTCCGCGACACCGCATGTCTCCCAGTGTTCCAGTTCCTGCCCAATTTCGGGAAGCTGGAGGGGCTTCCAGGACCAGCTGGTTCAAAGTGGTCATTTTATACGTGAGGGAACTGAAGTGCAGGGGCACGTGGCGGTTTGCTCGATTCCCAGAGCATGTGGACAGCAGAGGGGAGTCCAGGGCCTGGCCTGTCTCCTGGACACTGCTGTCTGCTGGCTACCCTGGGGTGGGGAATACACCGAGGGTCGGAGCCTGGCTCAGGCTGCGGGTGTGTGTGTTAGTGTGGCTGAATTTGGACGGGGTTTGCTCACTGTACCTCCTGCTCCTGTGTCTTTAGCTGTGGCTGTTCTCAGGGTCCTGTTCTCCCTCCCCTGGGCTGCTAGCCACAACTTTCCCTCTCCTGGAGGTAGGAATCTGGAGCCTCGGGGCAGTGTTGGGCAAGCTGGTTCGAGGGGACCCAGGAGCGTACCTGGCAGGCCTTTTCACTCCAGCGGTATGACACCAGAGTCATGGTGTGGCATGGGGACCTCTTGGTTGGGCTGAGAAGGATCAGACCTCTCCCAGGATGCTCTGAGATTTTCAAAAAGCACTGGTTTTTGTCTGAGCATCAGAAATTGGCCACTGTCCCGCTCCAGAAGCAAGACCAGCCCTGCAGAGATTGAGCCCTTCTCCCTCGAGCAGGGAGGACGCTGTGACAGTGAGGAACGTTGGCTTTGGCTGCACCATAGGATTTGAGTGACCTTTGGGGGAGGGTGTGTGAGGAGAATTGTTTCTGGAAAGCGACTTGGGTGGGTGGGGTGTTAGTGGGCTCGGCACAGAGGTGGTGGAGACCTAGAGGGCAGATTGACCCGGGAGCCTGAGGAAGAGGCCACCTCTCGGAAGGGCTGCAGTCCTCCCCGAGCCTCAGTCCTGCCCGGATTGTTAGTAACTCGGTGCTGACATGCGGGGTAGTACCTGCACACCACCGCCCTCCAGAAACCCATTCTCCAGATGAGGGAGCCGGGGCTCAGAGGGGTTGGGCTCGTGCCCTCCTCTTGCCTCTGTTGAACAGCAGATCCACTCTAGCCCGTCAGCTCCTAGCCAAGCCGCACACTCTGGGTCCTCGCTGAGCACGCGCAGGAGGCCGCCACTGTCTGCTCGGGCTGGGAGCCTGCATTCCACTTCCCTGGGCTAGCTTGCCCTGCCTCCAGGCGCTCACGATGGCTGCCTGTTCCTGCCCCCACCCGACTCCCATCTCCGGACTCGGCTGCTCCACATTGTGTCCAGGGTCTTATCTTCTGCCAGCATATCCCTGCTCAGGGCCTCAGGGGCCTCCCGTGGCACCCATGGGTGTTTGTTGGATTATCTCCTTTCTGGGGTTTGGAGACGGGGAAGAGCGGCCTCCCGGGTTAAGTCGCAGAGGCTCATCCTGGCGTCCAGAGTCCCTGTCTCCCGCCCACCTCTGGCCACACACTCCGGCTGCTAGCTGAGGGGCCACCACTCCCTGGATGCACGCTGGGTGTCCCCTCCCCCCTCGGCCCGGCAGCCCCGCCTGTTTGAATGCCATCTGCTCATTGTGCCCTGCTGACCAGCAAACCCGTTCCTTAGGGTAACGGCAAATGCTCTGCTTGTTGGCCTCCTGTGACATCTGTCACCAGCTGCCCTGTGAACTTGTTCTCGTTCTTGTGTCCAGGTCAGAAGTGGAGAGCCTTGCTCATTTCTGTCTCCCTACAAGCCTAGCGTGTGCTCGTTAAACACCGGTTGTGCTGACGTGAAGGAGGGCAGTCCGCCATCCCCAGGCCAGGTGTGCCCCCAGAGAGGTGGATTTGGGGGCTTTCTGGCTTGGTGCTGGCAGGACTGCCTTGAGGCTGGGCAGGAGGCCTGGAGGCACCAAGTTGCTCTTTGGTGCTGCTGGTGCTGCTGGTGCTGCAGCCCCAGGGGCACCTGCTCGGACTCTCCTGGCCGGATAGGACGGCATGTGCTGTGCACCCAGGGCACAGAGGAGCAAGTGAGGAGGCACCTGGAGGTCCAGCAAGGCCCCCCTTCACCTGTGAGGTTGTCCTGCGCTGTCTTTTGGGGCCCTACCCCTGGTTCCTGAGGGAACCAGCTTGACTCTCATAGAGCCCGTCTGCCAGACTTCACGCAGCCAGCACCAGTGCCCAGAGTCATAAGCTGTCTGTCCGCCAGGCCCCTCTCAGGGGAGGCTGGGCCCTTCTTGGGGCCTGGTGGACACATGGACACAAGTCTTCCCAAGACGCTAAGCCCACTTGGATAGGGATGGGGCCCCAGGTCCTTGAGTCTTCTCCATGTGACACGGTGCCGGGCTCCCAGCAGGTGTCGAGGGTGTAGAGCTGCATCCCTCACAGTGGTGGGCTCACTCCTAGAACAGACGCCCCCGCCGCCATCTGTAGGAAATGTCAGGGCATGAGCTGTGTTTTAACTAAATGTCCATCAGAGCTGATGGGGTGATACCATTGTTGAGAGCATGTGTCCCATCTTTTTACCCCAGTTTGTGTGTTTAAAAGGGCTTGTGGAGGGGTGGGTCTGGAGCAGGTAGCTGCCCGTTGCTTCTCCCGAGGGGCCTACCCTGCTCCTGGCTGCTTCAGGCCTCCTCTTGCTCCAGCGGAGCCCAGGAGCTCGGCACGCAGGTAGCAGAAGCTGGGTGGACCCTTCTAGACCCTCCTGTCTGCCCACCTGCTGGGGCCCGGCCTTCCTCCCTCAGGCGGCCTGGCCCCGCGCTGTCTCACTCTTGCCTGTGTTACAGGGACAGGCTGTCAGACCTCAGACCTCGTCCACTACTCAGAGTGGTTTGTCCTAGCGCCTCCCTGGGATGGGGTTGTTGGCTGGGGGAGAAGCGTTCGGAAGTTTCAGGAGGGGACCAGGGGGAGCCTTTCCCTGGGCAAGAGTAGGACCAGTGCTGGCTCAGAATAGAGACCCTAACACTCCTTCGTCGGGCCTGGTGCAGGTCCAGGTGGAGGCGGAGGTGGGTGCAGCCCTGAGAGGAGCAGCGCTGGTGAGGGGCTGACTCGTGCCCGGCACCCCAGTGCCCGCTGGCCCATCCGCCGCTCCCGGGCCCTGGACCCTTTGAGGACTGGCCGCATAGGAGCTGTGGGGGAGGACTCGGTGGCCGGGAGACCCCCGCCCGCATCCCTGCCCCAGGCAGGGATTGCCACGGGTGAGAGGGACAGGAGCCAGAGCGGCTGGCTGGCCCCGGGGACCAGAGCTCATCCCCTGCCTCCCCTTCCTGCCCCCCGTTTCCAGGCCAGGCTCATTTCCTGAGCAGTGGAGCTGGAGGCTCGGAGTGGAAATGGTGGCTTCCTGGGGCAGGAGGGGCTCCGGGGGCTCCCTGGGGCCGAAGCCGCAGGTCCCGCTCACCCCCGTGGGTCCCCAGGGCCGGCGCCTTCACCTCCTGCCTGGCTTGCCCTTGACGCTGAGGCTGCAGGTTCCTCTGCTTGGCTTCTCTCCAGAGGCCAGGCGTGGCCTGGTTGGGGGGGTAGAGGAGGCCCACGGTGAGGATGGGGGGGCCCCGGGGGCGGGAGAGAGAGATCTCTCGGCTGGCGCCATCACAGAGACACCTGCAAAGCAGGTACAAGTTAGCAGAGGGCAAGCCAAGTGCCCACATAGCGGGGCAGGCTTCCACACTGCCTGCCCTGCCTGGTGCCACTCCCACCGCTCTCTGCGCAGAGCCCAGGGAAGCTGTCCAAGGGCCTTGAGCCAACCACCTGCCAGGCTCAGCACTTTCCTAAATGCCCTGGTTTGATCCTCTCGGCGGCCTCCGTTTGGGGCAAGGATTATCATTATCCCCAAAGCAGCGGAGGGTCCAGGAGGTAGGTGACTGCCCAGAGGCCACACCACACAGCCGTGATCGCAGTGCTATGCGGCGGGGCCGTTTTTAGGCCTTGCTCTGGCCTCTTGCTGTTGACAAGACGCGGCGGTCCCTTGTCCATCACGAGGGCTTTGGCCCGAACAGGGGCAGAGAGTGTCCTGCTGTGGTTGCTGGGGGCGATGCAGGGTGCCCTCTGTACCCTGGGGCCCTTCCTTGCATATCCTCCTCTCCCCCAACCCCTTCCCAGCCTCATGACCATTTATTAGGCACTTAGGCTGGCATTGTTTGGTACTTCCCACCCTTGACATGCTCTTGTCCCCAGGTGGCAGGTGTTGGACTGAGGCCTGGACAACCCTCATAACCTGCCCATGGTCAGTAGGGGGCAAGGGAGGGGCAAGGCCAGGAGGCAGCTGCGGTTCCAGGAACTTCCTCCGAGGCCCCTGGCAAGCCCAGGGACAGGAGAGTGACCGAGCTGGCCCTTTGCATTACAGAGCACCTTTATGTGTCTCGTGTCCTCGGATCGTCGTAACACACGGATGCACAGGTTCTGTGATCGCTCACACTTGGCAGGTGCAGGCCCGGCTGGGCGAGAAGGAGCTTCCTGGGGCTAACATCTAGAAGTTGGCAGAGCCAGGGCCTCTGGCTTGAGGAAGCACGAGGTCGTGGCTGCCCACGGCAGCAGGGGCCCAGGCAGTACCCCAGAGCTGGAGGTGGCCTTTGGCGGGGAGGGCGGGAGCCGTGAGGCCAGGACCCCAGGGCTCAAGTAGCTGCCGCCCATTGCCTATGTGGTTTCTAGATCCCTGGGGCTGGGGGGGTTTGTTGGGCAGTTGCTCTACTCCCCCTGGCCCCTGCCACAGCCAGTGAGGTGGGCGGAGGGGCCCAGAGCACAGATCCCCCAGTGTCTGGGCCGGGATTATCCTGCAGACCCCACCTGTCTCCGCATGTGTGGCCAACCAAGGCCACTGTGGATTGCCTGCCCTGTCTCCCCCCCCCCCCCCCCCCCCTGTAACCCCCCCCCCCCCCCCGGCCCAGGAGGGACGCTTGGCTCCAGTCTGAGCAGCTGTTTCTAGTCCCCGCCCCTCAGTGTCCTCGGCCTCCATCTCTTGGGGTTTTCATCTGTGTAGCACAGGAGGCTCCTGCCATCTGGAAACTCCCAGAGAAGCACCGTTTCCACAGCCCAGGGACAGGCCCGGGGTCTGCAGGCCTCAGGAGGGTGGTCCTAGGGCCTGGCCCCCTGTTACTCCCCCTTGCTGAGCCCCAGGATGCCAGGAGCTGGTGGCCCTGGGTTCCCATGTAGACCACCAGGAGCTAAAGGGTCGGGTGCATCTTCAGCTGTCCCCATTGGGGCAGGGGGTTGGGCAGAGCACGAGCGGGCAGGCTTTGCCTGTGGCCTAAGGAGAAGCTTGACCCAGCCTCTGCCTCCTTGCCGGTCCTCCTGGTGAGCCCTCAACACGCAGCCAAGCCCCTTGCCGAGTCATTTCCTCCAGCCCACTGCGTCTCCGGCTCTGGGTCCCCCGTCCTGCTTCCCGTGCTTTTTCTCGGGTCCCTGCAGCACGCGAGGCAGAGCTCTTCTGGCTGACGTGACCCTGTCCTCGTCCACAGGATGAAGCCGACGCACACCATCGTCAACTGCTGGTTCTGCAACCAGGACACGGTCGTGCCATACGGGAACCGTAACTGCTGGGACTGTCCCCACTGCGAGCAGTACAATGGGTTCCAGGAGGTATGGGCCCAGGGAGCTGGGGTGGCAGTGTCACGCCACTACAGGTGGAGGGTCGGGGTCCGTAGCCAGGTCCTTCTGGCTCCAAAGCCCCTTGCCGGCCTTGCGTCAGACCAGGTGGAGGCAGGCTCCCTGCGGAGGCCGGGTGGCAGCTCCGCGGGCCATGCTCTGCCGCGACCGCCCAGCTGTGCCACGCCACCGGCGTCAGCAAGCGCGCGGGCTCTGCTGTGGGAAGACTCCACGCACAAACCCAGGCGGCCAGCCCGCGGGGTGCAGGTTGGCGGGGTGGGGGGCAGGCTGCACTCTGGGAGCTCCACATGAAGTCTTTTTGGAAGAAAAGCTCCCGCCGCTGCATGTAATGAGATCCGCCACCTTTTCTCTGGAGTGGCGCCAGATGGGGCGTCCGGCTCTCCTGTCGGTGGGGGGGGGGCTGGGCTCCCCCACTGACTCCTGTCCCCTCCCCTCCCCCCGCCCCCCAGAATGGCGACTACAACAAGCCCATCCCCGCCCAGTACCTGGAGCACCTGAACCATGTGGTGAGCAGCGCGCCCGGCCCCCGCGCCCCCGCGCAGCCCCAGCAGTGGGTGAGCAGCCAGGTGCTGCTGTGCCGGAGGTGCAGCCACCACCAGACCACCAAGATCAAGCAGCTGGCTGCCTTCGCGCCGCGTGACGAGGTGAGGTGGGCGCGAGGCGGGGGCCAGGCGCTTTGGAGCTGCTGCGGGGAGGCGCGCACAGGGCCCCCTCCTCACCCCGTGTGGCAGCAGCCATCAGGGCTCCCGGCCCGGGCACCTCGTGGAGACCCCAGCGCCTGCCAGAGGGGTTTGTCCCCGTGCAGGGCTTGGGGGGGGGCGCGGTCCTTGGGCTCCCGTGCAGGCCCTGTCGGAGCCATCCCGTCCATGTCCCTGGGTCAGTCTTGTCCACTGGCTGGGCAGGCAGTTTGCTCTGGAGTTGGCGGAGGACGCTCCCAGCTTCTGGGAGAGGAAACTAGGTACTGCCGAGCAGCCCAGTGTTGGGAGCTTGCCTCCCCTGGGCCCACTGCGGAGCCCAGCAGGCCTGGCTAGCTAGCACAGCCCAGCTGCCTGCCCCCCCCGCCAGACCTCGCCCTGTCTGGGGGTCCCCTGACCATTGGAGAAGAGCCCACCTTTCCCACGGTTCTGCGGGCGGGAAGGAGTACAGCACGGAGCCATGGCTGAGCAGGGGGAGATGGGAAACCTGCACAAAGAAGGGAACGCATGTGCAGTCTGGCAACCAGAGCAGTCGTTCTGGCATATTCGATCCCAGTGAGAGACCAAGCTGATAAGTTTCCTGGCCACTGCAGACTGCAATATTTGACTCCCCTGGGGAAGGGGAGGTGTGTTGCTGCATCTCTGGAGGGAGGAGGGCTGAGACTCAAATCTGGGCTCTTTCTGAAGCCCAGAGGACCCTTCAGCTCCCACGAAAGCCCTTGACTCTCTAGTGTTTTCTGGACGCTTGGTCTTCGGGGGAGGGCGGGCCCTACCTCTGGGTGGTTCTGTCTGCATTTGAGTAGCATCAGCCCGGAGCTGTTTCTCCTGTGACTCACCTGCCTTCCTGGAGCCCAGGAGCAGAGCCTGAAGCAGGGCCCACGGCCCGAGCTCCTGGCTTCCGGTGCCTCCCGTGCGGCCACAGAACCTGGCTAGAGAGGCCCCTGTCGCCCGTGGGCCCCTGCTGTGTGCCGCCTTCTGGGCCGGGCCTGCCCCTCGGGCGCCGGCATCACCGCAGGCAGCGGGCCATCGGTCGGGTCGGGCACCACCGGAAGCAGGTTCCAGCAGGGACGCCTTGCTTGGGGTCGCCCCCGAGGACGCTGAGCCGCTGTCGTGCCCCCGCCCCTGCAGGGCAGGTACGACGAAGAGATCGAGGTGTACCGCCACCACCTGGAGCAGATGTACAAGCTGTGCCGGCCCTGCCAGGCGGCCGTCGAGTACTACATCAAGCACCAGAACCGTCAGCTGCGCGCCCTGCTGCTCAGCCACCAGTTCCGGCGCCGGGAGGCCGACCAGACCCACACGCAGGTTGGAGCGAGGCCCCCCCCAGCTGCATTCGGCGGCTCCCACCCTTGAGTGGGGCAAGAAACCCCGTGCGTGGAGGGCAGCTCTTCAGAGCCGAGAGCCTTCCCAGGGGCCCCATCCCCACCTGTCCATAGGCCCCTTCGTGTCCTCAGCCCAAGCAAGGGTCCCAGGAAGAGTGGCTCAGGATCGTGTTGCATTTGTGTTCGTGCTCTTGAGCGGCGGGGGGGGTTGTCAGGGCCCTGCTGTACGTGGATGCTTCCCCGACACGGGCATGGGCTCCCCACGGCACCCTTCATGGTGGGTCTGCTCTTCGGCCCCATGACCCCCAGTTAATAGCTGGAAACCAAACTTGGGGAGTTAAACTAACTTGCAGAGCGCCACACACCAGGATTTGAACCCGGGACTGTCTTGCTAAAACTGTTTTTAATTATTATCACTGTACTAGGTTGATAGAATGTTCTGGTTTAAAAACTCTGATGTGATACAGGTGCATTTAGAAGTAAAACCATCCACCCCAGGGGCGCCTGGGTGGCTCAGTTGGTTAAGCGTCTCCCTTCGGCTCAGGTCATGATCCCGGCGTCCTGGGATCAAGCCCCACATCGGGCTCCTTGCTCGGCAGGGAGCCTGCTTCTCCCTCTGCCTGCCGCTCCCCTTGCTTGTGCTCTCTCTCTCACAGATAAAATCTTAAAACAAAACAAAAAAAACCACCCACCCCAGAAATATTCCAGGCTGCACCCAGGCCCCTGACCACAAGGCCACAGCCCCAGCCCCCACGCCCACCTCTGCACAGTCAGAAGCCAGACACTATGACCTTTGGTTTTCTCCTCAGCACCGTGTTCCTAGACGAAACAACTTATTGCTGTGTTCTTTTAACTTCATTTTGGCCTGAGTCATCTCTGTGTGTAGTTAAGAGCATGATAGGAACTTTTGATGAGAACTTGACAAAACGAAAATCTTATTAGAAAAAACAGGTCACGATGACATCAAAAGGGATTTCTCTAAAGAGCGTAGTAGAGCAGTAGCCTACCCAGCGTAGTGATTTCCGCGGTGGTTGAAGGCTGAGAAAGGAGACAGATCAGTGGAACACAGCAGTAAACCTAGAAACAAAGCTGGGAGTATGTAAGAACTTAAGACCCAGTAAAGACACTGTCTCTGACCATCAGGAACCAAGTGGATTTTTTTTCCCCCCAAGGGGGGCTTGGACTCACAACCCTGAGATCAAGAAGTGAGCTGAGATCAAGTCAGACACTTAACTGACTGGGCCACCCAGGCGCCCCTGGAACCAGGTGGATTCTTCAGCAAGTGCTCTGGGGCCCTGGCAGGGGCCCTGGCCAGACCCCCGCGCACAGCGGGCACTGGGAATGGCTGTCGGTGGCGCTGGCCATCTCGCTAACCAGTCTCTCTCGCTCCCTCAGAGCTTCTCATCCGCGGTGAAGGCCCCGGTCCAGGTCATCGTGCTCCGCGCCCTCGCCTTCCTGGCCTGTACCTTTCTGCTGACCCTTGCGCTCTATGGCACCAGCAACCCCTTTGCCCCAGAGGCCACCCTGCCCCCAGCCCTGCCGCCCGGTGGCAATGGCTCAGCCGCACCCGACAACAGCACCGCCCCGGGGGCCGAGGGCTGGCAGCAGCTGCTGGGCCTGCTGCCCGAGCACGCGGCAGAGAAGCTGCGCGAGGCCTGGGCCTTCGGGCAGAGCCACCAGATGGGCGTCGTGGCCCTGGGCCTGCTCACCTGCCTGCTGGCCATGCTGCTGGCTGGCCGCATCAGGTGCGTGTGGAGCCAGGTGGGGCGGGACTTGGTGGGAGGAAAAGCTCCATGGTGTGGCTGGAACAAGACATGGTCCCTCTTCTCTGGCGGCTGGGAGTCGGGGGGCGGGCAGAGGAAACCAGTGTGACCTGCCCGAGGGAGTGGTGGCACTTAGAGCTGGCCTGCCCCTACCTGCCGTGCGCTTCGGCCACCTGGCATGCTTGTCCCCCTCAGGCTCCTCTCCTGCAGAGTCGGGATGATAATGACCACCTACCTCTCCGGTTGTTGGGGGACCAGGTGGGTCCCTAGCCCCCCCGTGCACTTGGAGACTGTACTGAATGGTGTTCGCATCATGCCAGTGGCTCTGAGAGACAGTCCTCAGCCCGGGTTTGTAGGCTGGGATCTGGAGGCCCATCCAGAGTCAAGCAGCGTGTGGGTGTGGGAAGAGGCCCCCGCTCTCCTCTTGGCCCTGGACTCTGATCTCTAAGCAGAGCCAGGGATGGACGTGGGAGGCTGGAAGTGGCAGAAGGGGGTAGGTTCTTACCCTGCCCGCCCTGGGCCCTCACCGCCGCCCCTGCTCTGTCCCGCAGGCTCCGGAGGATCGATGCCTTCTCCACCTGCCTGTGGGCCCTGCTGCTGGGGCTGCACCTGACTGAGCAGTACCTGCAGGCCGCCTCACCCGGCTGGCTGGACACACTCAAGTTCAGCACCACGTCCCTGTGCTGCCTGGTGGGCTTCACGGCAGCAGTGGCCACAAGGAAGGCGACAGGCCCGCGGAGGTTCCGGCCCCGAAGGTCAGAGAAGCAGCAGTGACTGCGGGGGGAGGACAGACGGACGGACAGGCCCGGAGCAGGGCCCCTCTGACTTGCGTCTTACCTGCCTCACTCCTGCCCTTGCCCAGCCTAGAGCCCCCTGTCCTTTCCGGCACTACCAAGCCACCCTCCCAAGTGTCCTCTAGCTGCCCACCACTGCCGCTGTCTTTCTGGCCAAAGACCCCGTCAGTGCCCCGAGACTGGATCACGGGTGGCACCCACATAGCCTGCCTCTGACCCAGGGCCTCCAGCCGGCAGCTCCAGGAGCCCCCACCCTGGCCGCGCCCTTTCCCTGGCTCTCACACGGTGGGTGAGCGTCGGGTCCCTGCTGCTCCTCCCACTTTGCTCCACCCGTGAGCCCCTGGCTCAGGCTGGTGACAGTGGCTATGGGCTGGACCCTTGCCACATGGTCTCCTTGGGCTGCTTGGCATGGGCAGGTGCTGCTGAGCAGGGGCCGGAGCAGAGCCCCCCCCCCCACCTGGTCCCCACATCACTTCCCTGGTCCATCCTTTTGGGCCTGACGGTGGTCCGGCCACCCCTCGCAGAGCCGGGGCAGCAAGAGGACACAGGGCTGCGCCTTCAGGTTTACAGTTCGCTTTCGGCTCCAAGACCTTCCTGAGACCCATGGTCCCTCAGCTTCCTTCCCCAGGAATGGAGAACACAGTTCTTGGGTCCCGACTGGGCCTGACCAGGAGTGTGTGGGGCAAGGCTCTCGAGGGGGACAGTAGAGAATCCTGCTGCTCCTATGGTCAGCAAGTGTCTTCTTAGCAGCCAGGCTGCTGGGGGAGTTCGTCCAGGTGGGGATCCGAGCAGTCTTTCCTTTATTCATCTGTTTTTCAGGCGCTGCTGTGGGATAGACAGAGCCAGGGCACGCACGCGCTGCTTCCTCTCCTGAGGCGCAGCTGCTCTGCCCTTGAAAGCCAGGGCCCAGTCCTGGTGGCCAAGCCCTCCGCCCACCCCTGCAGGGGCTGGGGTGCAGGCCTCCCTAGCAAAGGCTGCCCCACCTGGCAGTGGACGCCTGAGTGCTCTTGGCCCGCTCCCCTACCCTTGCCTGGGCTGTCCCGTTCCCTCCACTCGCCCCCGTATGGTGCCTGGGGAAAGTTCTTGCTCCCTGCAGATAGCACGGGGCAGGGGCCCGAGAGTGACACACATGACACTGGGTCATTTGTCACCTTGTCCCTTTCTGGCCTGTCACTATCCTCCTGGCTCCTGGCGCTGCTCACGGAGGCCACTGAGGCTCCCGCATTCCAGTCCCCTGTGGGGCAGCAGGAGGGTAGTAGGGACAGGGCCACCGCTCCCGGGGAAGCACGCCTGCTACTCACTAGCTGGTTCCAGCCAGGCCTCGGGCTCTTCCCAGCCTCAGTTTACTGTCTGTGAAATGAGAGGTGGACCTTTCTCCAGGGCCCCTGAGTGCTGCCCTAGGCGTGGACACACTGTGGACACAGAAGTGCCACCCGCGTGCAGAGGAAATAGTTAGCCTAGGGTGCCGTCTCTGAGCGCTGTCCCCGCAGGTGGGCAGCCCAAGGCTGTCTCCGTCCTGCATTCTGCACTCTGATGACTCCCTCCAGGGCCGATGTGCCCTGCCACTCATCGCTCTGAGCATCAGTCCCCCTCCAGATGGGACCCCAGGGGTGCCAACCACTCCCCTTTGCACATCGGAGCCGGGGGAAGGCAAAGCAGATGACGTGCGCGTGAGGCTCATGTGAGCCTGAGGGGCAGATCAGAGAGCACCCTGGCCAGGCCCTTCATGGAGCCTGGGCCCCACCGTCACGGTCTTTCTATGCTCACGGGGTCCTAAGAAGCCACCCCGCCCCACTCAAATGCGTGTGCAGCAGCCCTTGCCCCACCCTGGCACCCGGGTGGGTCTGGAGCTGCCCCCTTCGGCGTGTGGCCCCCGATCAAGGCCCCACCTGGCTGGGCTCGGCTTGTGCTCTGCGGAGGGTGAGGTGCAAGGTGACTGACCAGGAAGGAGGGGTGGGGAGCCTGGCTGAACCGGGAGCGAGCCCTGCTGGCCTGGCTTGGCTGTTGGGCGGTGGCGGGGGGTGGGGGCGGCCCGCTGCCTGTCCCTTCACCCCCATCAGTCAGCCCGGGGGGGGAGAGGAGGCCGCAGGTACCAGGCCGAGAGCCAGTGGTCTGTGGCTGTGCGTGCCCTCGTATATGGAATCTCTCATTCTCAAGGAAACGGACAGTGTGATGCTAATTACTGCTTTTCTTGGCGTTGAGTAGAAGCAGGACATCTGTGTGTATGTGTGTATTTAAGTTAAATTATTTATAATAACCATAACCAGCTCTCTTGCTGGCCAGGAGCCCCTGCTGAGCAGATGTCTTTCCTGCCCTCTAGCGGGGAGGGGAAGTCACCCTCCTGAGATGAGCCTCATCAGAGCGCGGCTTCCTGGGCTTTTTAGAGTTCTGTGTGACTTTTTTAAAATTACGTGTCTGTCCTTTCATTACTTGGAGCATATTTCCAGCACCTTCTGATGTTTACTGGCAACAGCTGAGGAAGTGCAGGCAGCACTGGGATCGTGGCTTATTAACTGGAAATGTGTCGCCCTACCCCGGACCTCTGTCCCCTCCACTGGGGACAACTATCAGACCACCTGGGGTCGGGGTGACTGTCTCCAAGACGTGAGGGAGGCCCGCTTGGCTATCTTCTCTCTCCGAGTCTGGGGTCCCCACCGTGGGCTGAGCAACCGCCTCGACGCACCCGCCCGGGGAGGAGCCCGTGTCCCTTCTGTCTGTGACTCTTGCCAAGTGGCTCGCCCTCTCTGGTTGTGTAGCGCACCTGCGGGGGATTGGCCGGTGACTCTCTTTGCTGTAACCGTAATTCCTGGCCGTAGATGTCGTGTGTTTCATGCTGTATTTTCAATAAATGCCTCCGGGGCTCTGCTTTTACCGGCGGGCATCAGGTACCATGTCTTTTTTGTTTGTTCTTTCACGTTCCTTCAGAGGCTTCTGGGCCGGGGCAGGGGACTTCGGGGCACAGGCATGCCCACAGGAGTCAGGTTTGGGTGCTGGTGACGCGGGCCCCAAACGGCTCGGGGCCCGGCTGTCCTCCGTGCCCTGCTGGGTCCTCTTTTCCCCCGTCTCAATAAACTGCTGCTTAAAATGTAGTCCTTCTCTCCTTCCGTTCCCATCTCGGACTGGGATTGGATCAAAAAAGACCGGCCGGCCCCCTTAGTGTCAGATGGGACATGGGACAGCCACCTGCCCCATCCCAGAACCCGTTTATCCCAGTAAACGTACAGACTTGGATTCGGGGCTGAGTGCCTCTCTGAGATGGGGTTTGAGGTTGCAGGGTGGGCTGGGGGGGGGGTTGCTAGCCAAAGGAAGCATCGATACTTCTGAGCTCTCTGGAGCCTGGCAGAGGTTCCCAGGGACCAGCTGCTGCGGAGCCGTGATGGCAGCTCCCTTGGCACTTTACAGAGGATCTGCCAGGTGACTGATGTCACTGTGTGTCACAGCAGGAGGGCTCGGACCAAAGAACCAGCTCCTTAGGGCCAGCGTTCTTAGTGGAATCAGAGATTGGGAACGGCTCCTGTGCCACATGGCTGAGAGATTCGGGTTTTAAGCCCTGGGGCGGCCCCAGGTGTGAGCAGGATCTGGGAAAAGCAGGGAAGAGCTGGAAAGACCCTGGAAGCTTCTCCTGGGCAGAGCTGACCACCTCTGAACCCTACAGCCCGACGTGGAGCCTCTCCCCTCACTTGCCCAGGTTCGGGGTGCACGCTGTGGACTCTGTGGTGTAGGGGGTGGGCACAGGAGGCCCGGCGCAGAGTCCTGCTGCCATCTGCTGGACAGGCCTAGGCATGCCCTGCCCCCACCCGGTCCTCGGGGAGGTGCAGGCCCCGGCAGGGGACAGAACTTCACACGCGATCAGAGCAAGCTGACCAAAGGCCCCAGTGCGCCTTCCCTGCCCCCACAGTGAGTGAGGTGCCCCCCTGCCGACCTCTGGCTCTTCCCCCACAGTAGTGGCGCCATCCTGCCACATGGTATCACAGTTCTACAGTGACAACACCAAATCGATCTGTGTAGAGACAAAACCTTCCTCAGGTGTCTGGGGGGCAAGGAGGTGGGTGTCCGATAGGCTTGGGCAAAACAAGTCAGCATGTGGAGTGTGGGTGCGTCCAGCCTGGAGTTGGCCAGATCCTTCTGGTGATTGGCTTGATGAGTCCCTGCCACGATTTCCCCATGTCCCCCAAACCCGGGGGCCCCGCCTTTGGTTCTGACATCCACGTAGCCTCGTGGCACTTTGGAAAGCATTGAAAAGGTCCCATATGAGTCTCTAGGAGGGCAACCGTGGACCCCACACTTGCCTCACAGAATTTATTTAAAGCAAGGACTGGGAGTGAAAAATAGGGAAATAAGTGGACTGTATAGTTTGGCTGGCGGTGCCCTGAGCGTTTGGTCACGAGGGGCGCAGGGTGGGTCCCTTAGCAGGCCCCCGGCTCTGCTGCAGGGCCTGAGCCAGCCTGCCCGTCCATCGGCACCTTGTCCATGGCCCCAATTGTCCCTTGGGACTGAGGTAAGGCTGGACCTCCCCCAGCTCCGTCCAGACGGCGGACTAATGTATTAACTGCCTCTGTCCCTCTCCTCCCTCTGTAATCGGTTGCCTTAATCAGAAGCATGGTTGACAATCTGGCTTGGGGCCACCGGGTCCTGTTGTGTGATTTGTCCCATTCTCGAGTTAAAGAGACACTGTCACCTTCCGTCTGTTGGGCAGCCTTGCGATCGTTTACCGGTCTTGTCTAAGCTTGAGTTAGGCTTGTGTCCCCCAAGAGCCTCTTCCCGAGGATCCCCAGCCTGGCCGCCTCCCCCTCCGCTCTGCAAGGGGCTTTAGACGAGTGTCCAAGACCAGAGAGCAGTAGCGGGATTCCCGGAGCCGGGCCCTGGGGAGCAGGGGGCTCCCCGAGCTCAGCCGCCCTGTCAGGAGGCTCTGGGCATGGGCACAAAGTGGCCAGGGGGAGCCCAAGGCCTTTGGCCTTCACTGAGTGCCTGGCATGGGGTTGGGCATCTTTGCTTCAAGGCGAAGGGTTGGCGTGAGGTTGGCAAGGGCGACAGTGTCACTTTAATACCGAGACTAGTAGTGGAACTAGTTTGCTGTGAAGCCGAGGGGGCGGGTGGGTGGGATCGGAGGGGGCATGCAGGGAGGGGTGGGTCACGCTGGCTCCTCCCAGCCACCCGCTCCTAATGGCGTGAATGTGGTCGGACTGCTTTTCTGCTTCAACTAACGCACGCCTCCCTGGGACCCCGACTCCGGCCCCACCTGGCACCAGGGGAGAGGGGCCGGGACCTGGGCGGAGGCCGCCGCCTCCAGAGCCTCCCGGGGCTGACCCTCCTCTTGTCCCCCGTGCCCAACGGGCTCTTGCAGGTATTTCCCACGCGACGCGGCCGGCCTTTTCCCCACGAGCCCCAGCCTGGCTGTGCCCTGCCCGAGCGCGGGCCCTTCGCCGTCTCTGTTCATCCCCACCCCGCCCGGCTTCCTGCCACTCGCCAGCCAGCAGCTGTTCCGGTCTCCTCGACGGGCCTCTCCCTCCTCGCTGCCAGGCCGCCTCAGCCGGGCCCTCTCGCTGGGAACCATACCCTCCCTGACGCGGGCAGGTAAGGGGCGCTCGACAAGGGCGGGCAGAGCGGGGCATGGCCGCGGGGCAGGAGGGTGCTTAGAGCTCCTGCCATAGAGACGGGCGGAGCTGGGCTCCAATCCTGGGGCGTCCATTCGGCAGCTGCCTCACTTCTGTGAGCCTCGGTTTCCCTCCAAGAAGACGAGGTTAGTAGCAGAACCTGCCTGTGGGTGTTTGTGGCAAATTGAGGTGACACATTCAAAGCACCTTCTAGAAGGTCGGCGGGCACTCGGTAGACATCCACACACGTCGGACGCTGTCTTTTACCACCATCCTTACTGTCGTTATTCCTGTCGTCATTTTGCGACCTTGGGGGCTGGAAAATTTGCCCGCGTTAATACTGCGTGCTTGCCGCATGCGGACCCTGGCATGACCGAGACCTGCCTGGTCCCTGTCCCGAGAGTCTCATCCTTCACCTTTTTCCAGCACAGTCTTCCTGGGAAGTCAGTTACAAATGAAATCGAGTGTTTCCTCCTCGGAGCCTGGCAAGCTCTCTGTGATGGCTCTCGGCACTCTGGGAAGCCACTGGGCGGACTGGGCTTGCCTCCTCCTCGGGCTGTGTCCTGGGGGCTGGCTGCGTGGGTAGCAGGCTTGGGAGTGGGAAGCCACGAGGCAGGATCCCAGCCTCCAAGAATGTGGATGCCATCTCAGTTAATCCAGGCTTGGTAATCTGCAGTCGGTGTCTCGTTCAGGCCTCTCGGCAGCTCTGCCGGGCTGGAGGCTCCAGTTCCAGTCGGATGCTCCCCTGAGCTTCAGTCTCCCCCCGTGACTTGCCCAGGGTCCCACTGCAGGCTGGGCTTTGTGCCCAGTCATCTGGCTCCTGAGCTGAGGCATCCTCCTGGGTAGAGGGTGGGTCACACCGCAGGAGGGACAGGTCATAACGGTGGGTAGGGTTCAAGGCCTTCGGGGTAGGGCCAAAGGTGTGATTGCCCTGAGTACAGACGCCTGGACTCCAGATAGTTCTGCGTAACCAGAAGTGAGCTGGCTTGCTGGGCGAGCCGCCCTTCTCCGGGAATGGTCATTCAGCAGAGTTCTTGATCCCCCTGCCTGTGGCCCTGGGGGTGGGGGTGACCCTGGAATTCCCTGAATGTGGGAACCTGACAGGCCCAGCAGCTGGGCCCTTCCCCTAGAGCGTTCTCTGGAGCTGTCCCATCAGGCCTTCTGGGTGGGGATGAGGGTGGGGCTGGTTGGGGCCAAGGTGGGGACAGGGCCCCAAGCTCCCAGGCCTCTGTAGGACCAGCTCACTTCGGGTCCTGCCAGAGCCTTCTGATGGCCGTCTTAGGGACAGAGATGCAGACTGTGGGAGAAGTCTGCCTCTTGTTTTGCTCTTTAAAATACGAAATGACTGGGGCGCCTGGCTGGCTCAGTAGAGCATACGGCTCTCGATCTTGGGATCGTGAGTTCAAGCCCCATGTTGGGCATAGAGCCTACTTGAAAAAAAAAAAGAAAGATAAAGAAATGACTCCGGTTAATGTCCTACGGGGTGAAAGGCAGGGACTTGACCTCCGAGGGGCACCTTCCTACCCCTCCTGTTCCCTGTAGGACAAGCTCAGGGTTGAAAAAGTGAGCCCCAGGCTCCCCACCACTGCCCCTTCCTCTGGAGAAAAGCCCACCAGCTGCCGGTCTGATGGAGGCAAAATGGGGGTGCTCAGACTCCCTCACCACCAGCCGGGCCGGTGATGATACACGCGCCGTGGTGGTGTTGGGAGCACCTGATGTGGGCAACTGAAGTGCCAGGAACCATCAGCTGGGTGCAGCCAAGCAGGCCCCCAGCCCCTGACCCTGGGAGGGTCTAGAGCCAGAGGCTATGCCTCAGGGCTGAGATGGGCATGACGTCAGGGAAGCTTCTAGAACAGGGCCGTTAAAGGCCATTTTGCTCATATCCCGAGTTCACACTCGGATGGTTTTCCTTTTCCCCCTGAACAGAGATGTCCCTGTCTGTTCCCTGTGGCCCTTGAAGAGAACGTGGGGAGGGAACAGTCCGACTGCTGAGGGCGCCAGGAGCCCGGCACCTGCCCAGCCAGGAGCAGCCCCGCCCTGGGCCCCACGCTCCCGGGACGACTCTCCGTGCACGCTGACCCCGGGGGGCCGAACTGGGGGGCTTCCATTTCAAGCGCCTTGGAGCGGTGGGTGGCATCCCAGAACCAGCGCAGGCCGTGGAGGCAGGGTCCCCCACCCATCGTGGAGGACCCGCAGCCTCCCTGTTGCCCTGTGGGGCTGGAGGCAAGGACAGCAGGGCAGTTGTGGGACGCAGGCTGGTCTCGGAGTGTCTGGTGACAGGTGGGATCCCAGGGTCTCCCTGCTGGGGGCGTTGAGGATGAGTTTCTGCAGCTCCTTGGCTCAGGTAACCAGGAGGCACTGGTGGTCCGGGGCTCAGGCGCCAGGCCAGGTTCCCGTTTCGTGTGTGTTGTGTGTGTGTGTGTGTGTGTGTGTGTGTGTGTGTGTGTGTGTGTGT